CTTCTCCCTCTGACCCTCCCTCCTCTCATGTGCTCTCTCTCTCTCAAATAAATAAATAAAATATTTAAAAAAAAAAAGAACTACAGGGAAAAAAGATCCATAGTTACAGCCAAATATTTTAATAACCCATTCCCAATAATTGCTAGGACAAGGAAACGGTAAAGGGATGGAAGATCCAAACCACATTATCAACCATCTTGAACTGGTATTTCTAGAGCTCCAGTCAACAGCAGCAGAATACAGCTTCTTCAAGTGTGCTCAGGACATCTACTAAGATGTAGACCATATTCTGGGCCATAATCAATGATCAAAAAATTTAAAAGGATTTGAGTCATATGAAGTATTTCTCTGACCACAGTGACATTAAATTAAAAGTCAGTAACAGAAGAACTCTGGAAAATCCTAAAATATCTAGAGACTAAATAACACATTTCTAAACAACTCATAGGTCAAAAAAGAAATCAAAAGGGAAGTGAAAATGTATTTTGAACTCAATAAAAATGAAAACCCAACATATGTATCAAAGCAGTACTTTGAGGAAAATTTGTAGCACTAAATACCTATATTGGGGAAGAAGAAAGGTTTCATATCAATGATCTCAGTCTCTACCTTCAGAAGCTAGAAAAAGAAGAACAAATTAAACTCAAAGCAAGCAGAAGAAATGAAATAATAAACAGCAGGGGCGCCTGGGTGGCTCAGTCGTTAAGTGTCTGCCTTCAGCTCAGGTCATTATCCCAAGGTCCTGGGATCGAGCCCCACATCAGGCTCCCTGCTCCGTGGGAAGCCTGCTTCTCCCTCTCCCACTCCCCCTGCTTGTGTTCCTGCTCTCCATCTCTCTATCAAATAAATAAAATAAAATCTTAAAAAAAAAAGAAATAATAAACAGCAGAGCAGAAATCAATTAAATAGAAAAAAAAATCAACAAGCCAAAGCTGTTTTTTTTGAGAAAATCAGTAAAATCGATAAATCTCTAGCCAGACTGGTCAGGAAAAAAAAGACCAGTTACTGATATCAAGAATGAGAGAGGTGACATCCCTATAGTCAATGAATATAAAAAGCACAATATGAGACTATTATGAACAATTTTAGCTAATACATCAGACAACTTAGAAAAAATGAACAAATTTCTCGAAAGAAAAACCACCAAGAAGACATGATAATGTGAATCACCCTACATCTATGAAATAACCCGAATCTGCACTTCAAAACCTTCCCACAAAGAAAACTCCAGGCTGAGGTGGCTTCACCACCAAATATTTAAGTAATAAATAAAGCTGATTCTAAACAAATTCTTCCAAAAAATTGAAGAGGAGGGAATACTTCCCAGCTCATTCAATAAGGTCAGCATTACCCTGATATGAAAGACAGACAAAGATATTACAAGGAAAGAAAGCTACAGACTAATATCCCTCACAAACACAGATGAAAACTTCTAAACCAAGTGTTAATAAATAGAATCCAGCAATATATATACAAAGGACAAGACTTCGGGACCAAGTGGAGCTCATCCCAGAAATGTGAGGTTGATTTAACAATGAAAAATCAATATAATTGGCCATACTAAAATAAAAAAGAATAACCATATGAGCATCTCAACAGATGCAGAAAAAGCACTATCAATACAACCCCATATCCTTTACTGAACAAACTCTCAGCAAACTGGGAATAAGAGGAATTTCTTCAACCTGATCAGCAACATCTACAAAGACCCCACAGCTAATGTCATACTTAAGAGGGAAAATAGGGGCTGGTTTCCCTCTAAGATCATGAACAAGTCCAGAAGGTCCACTCTCACCATTTCTACTAACAAGGTACTGGACGTTCTACAGTGCAGTGAGGCAAGAAAAAATCAAAGGCATCCAGACTGGAAAGGAAGAAATGAAACTGTCTTTATCTGCAGATAATATGATGGCCTATGTAGAGAACCCAACAGAATCTGCAAAAAAGCTATAAAAACTAATAAATGAGCTTAGCAAGACTGTAGAACACAAGATCAATATTATTTCAATTTTATTTCTATGTATTTAACAAGAAGCCACTGAAATCAAAATTAAAAAGAACCTTCCATAACAGCAGAAAAAGTACAACTACTTAGGAATAAGCTGGAGGTCAGATGTGCAACATCTACACAGTAAAACTTTCCTCAAAATACCATGGACAGAAATTAAAGACTTAAGTAAATAAATATACTTCGTTCACTGGTCAGAAGATCAGATACTATTAAGGTATCGATTCTCTGCAATTGACCTAGAGAGTCAATGTACCAAACAAGATCCTGTCAGTTTTTTTAAAGAAATTGACAAGCTAATTCTATAATTCACATGGAAATGCAAAGGACCTAAGATAGAAAACACTTTGAAAAAGAGTAACAGAGTTGAAGAACTAACGTTTTCTGATTTCATGACTTATTATATAAATCAACAGTAATAAAGAGCATGCCAACAGCTTAATAGCAGGCCAACAGGGGGCGCTTGGGTGGCTCAGTCGTTAAGCATCTGCCTTCGGCTCAGGTCATGATCCCGGGGTCCTGGGATCGAGCCCCACATCCGGCTCCCAGCTCATCGGGGAGCCTGCTTATCCCTCTCCCACTCCCCCTGCTTGTGTTCCCTCTCTC